TCACTTATACACTGGTATACTACATTGTATTAATCCATAATTATACAATATAGCGATAATATACATAGTGATAGTATATAACACTCTGGATTACTAATCCGTTGAGCTTATATTACATGACATACAACCATGTGCACTAACCTTACATTGTATATGCATAGTATAAAATAGATATGTAATATAATAAATAAAGTTTACACTTGTATTAAGCAATCAATATAATTATTAAGCATGCTTGATCAACACGCAAAGAGTGCATAATGCAACTACAACCTGTATAATACCAATTTGGACCATTTTTTGTGCCTCTCTGCAAAACGACCATTTCTCAGTCATCAATAGGAATTTTGAGCTATCGATAGAATATCATGTTTGTAAAAAATGGACTGTTGCAGTTCAAACTTTGTTCTGTGAAAAAGAATAAAAATTCGACGTATTATGTGACTATATATATGTCAGATTGGTAGCCAAACACACAAAAGCTGTCGTTTGAAATATCTGAGCGTGACTTGCAAACGCCACGCCCACAAACAACCAACCCAGGACGTACGGAATGGCGCTGAGGTCGAGCATCGCGGCCCGTCCCAAGCGATCGGCAAGGTTGAACGTAACCAACGAACCTATGAGCATGCCAAGGGGAAGGATCAGCTGGAAGAACTCGGCGTGGTTCACGCGGCCGTCGAACATGTCGACTTGGATGTTGTACAGTCGCGAAGGCGACAGCGGATAGAGTCGTCCGTATACTCGGCGGCCGCATCGTGTACATTGGCGCAGGCCAGTTCTTCGTGTACTTGAGCACGTGCTAAGTGAGCTTTAACCTGAACCAGTGGAAGATCATTGCAAGCATGGGGGTGGCTCCAGGCCTGCTGCTCCTTGTCTGAATGTAGTTCGTACCGGACACGCCATCGTGGCTTCTGCTTCGGCACAACGACCGCGTCACGAGCTCCTCGGGGTGCCTAAAGATCCAAAGCCGCGCCTCCGTGAACCGCAGCACGCGCACCGAAGTCCGCGCCAACTCGAGTCTGCAATCTGACTTTTTTTTGTGGCCATTAACAGTAAGGTTAAAAAAATTAATTATTTAGGGTAAATTAGGGGGCCGAGGAGCCCCCCTAATTTACCGGTTAATTAACCGGATGTTTCGTAAGTCCTTGGTATTTATTATTATCCCCAGGGTAAGTGATGATAATCAACTCCTAACATATGATTTGTATTTTTTAGATATGCGTTCAACAATTGCACATTTGTATTGGATTTGGCTGGAAAGCTGGTCCATATGCCAAGTTGCGGTATGCGTTCATCTCTTCTTCCACTCCTAGTTTATGTGAGCACGTTGACGCACACATGGGCGAAGGAATCAACACTAATTCTCAATCCGAACTAATTACGGTCTACCTTTGTGAAATTGGAGCGACAGGGAAAAGTTGATACTATTACATGTAGTACAACACTTGCACAGTTCCTTTTCTTCTTGAGCATGAGCGTTGCGTACGGCGTCGAAGTCGAGGCCACGGAGATACCTGCTCCAGTCCGCCGCATCAACAACGCCCTGCGCTCCATGAACTTGACGCACGTGCAGACGGCGCTCTTCACGACGCATTTGGATGCCGGTGTCAAGGTATGCAATGCGACCAAGTCCGACTGGAATCGGTTCGTCAACTCAGAGTACCAAGAGCTCATGTCCCGATCTATGATGTGGCGAGATGGCGCTATCTACATCGTCGAACTACCAGGAGGGACCCATGAACACATGAACCGTAACGTAGTAGTGGCGATCATGGCCGCAAGTGGAACCTCCAACGTGCACCTCAAACCATACGGAGCGACGTTTGTCGATGCCCTAGAACATATTGAACCAGACGAGAGCTTTGGGCCGGCCCCAAATATCGGCGCAGTCTGTCCTGCAAACCTCGCCTGGAATGAGTTCCATACGCTGAAGATCGAGGTCGGTGTCTCTCGCGGCTGGGCGCTTTTGGATCCTAAAGCCATTCACTGGGCAACATTCCCTGGCGTCGCGTACATCTTGTGCATCCGCATCTCGCCACACTTTCGAGTGTGCCAGTACAAGCTCCACTCTGTCGAGCCCCCAGGAGCCATCGT